TTTCAAAAGATACCTTTTTTCAGATTCTAGAACAATATTTACTGTAGACAATTTAAAAACTATGCAAAAAGACACCAATTGCTCTGATTCCCACTGCCAGAATTAACTACTGTTACTATATTTTTGTCTTGATGAAGGCTTTTTCCTGCGGATATACACGTGTATATACATATACAATAGCTTGTTACATAATTGAGAGCATCCTATTAGGCAATTTTGTAGCCAATTCTCAAATGTGATGCTTCCCTTTCATTAAAAATACCTTTAAATTCACCAATAATAACATGCAAAATACTCCATTGTATAGAAGGAACATCATTTACTCAACCATTCTTGCTTGTTGAAATATTTCACTAATGGGGATAATTTTTTGGCTTTTGTTACGTATTTCTGAGTGTGCTCATGATGCCATCACCAAAAATGGGTTATTTTTAATTTGTTTAAAAAAGTTTATGAAAGCAAAATATATTTCATGGAAAAAAAAAGTTAACAATACAGAAATGCATACATAAAATATGAGTCCCCTTGCTGCTGAGTCCTGCTGCTAAGAGTTTTGTGTGTACCCTTCCAACACACACAGGTTAATTTTTAACCAAAGCAGGATCATATTGCATGTACTTCTCAGTAACTTGCTTTTTTCCATTACTGTACCATTGGGGTGTCTTATTGGGATATACACACCTACCTCATTCCTTAAATAGCTGCAGAATAGTCCACTGCTTGGCTATACCTTGGTTCCTGATGGGTGTTTAAATTGCTTCCAGGTTTTCACAATCACAACATTGCTGCAATGAGCAGCCTTGAACAAACACCTATGGGTGAGATTTCTGGAAGTAGAAACGTATTGAGAGCCATTCCATAGCCTGGGGGTTTGTCGTGTGTACCTCAGTCCTGTGTGTTGGTGTCCCACCTCATGGACATGTCTTGGCTGTCTTCTGCACAGGACCTCAGCCTGTAGTGACTCCCCCAACACCGAGGAGACACCATCCCCTTCTGTGAAGGCCTCCACCTTTACTCCATCTGTCCTGCTCAAGTTCCAGCCTGTGCCCAGACCTAAAGATGACTCAGAGAATGACCCTGGCAGCGCAGAGTCTGTCCCACACAAGAGGAGCCCATAACCTCTTCCCTACAGACCATGGTGTAGGAACGAATAAAGCTCCCATGGAGGTCCCTTCTTTGTGCTGGGTTTCCTGCAATCCAATGGGCTCCTTCCAGCCTGAAGAAGTCAGGGTAGTGCCATGTATGTGGCCTGAGCCTGCATACTGTAGGTGGTCAACTCAGTGCTATTGTGAAGTCCCCTTGCTTGCCCTCTAACATTGGGAATTCAGCCATGTGCACTTTGAAAGAGAAATGAGTGAGGAGAGTGCTACTTTTCCCTGCAGCGACTCTGTGGCCCATCGACCTTAGTTGCAAGCCTACCATTTTTTCCTACACCTCGTTCCTAAACAAAAGCCTTATCAGGGTACAGGTTTAGAAAGTGATCTATTCCCTCCCTGGAAGAAAATGAGCTGGTGTGTCAGTTTCCAACCTGGCACCTCCCTAATGAATTTCAAAGATAGTGACACATTGTCCCCTCACACTGATCTTAGAATCAAACATGTGAGAGTCGAGTCCTCATAAAATGCTTGATAACTGCTGGATGTTAGCAGATATTCATCGAACCTTTGTGTCTGCCCTGCATCTTGCTTGGGACTGGAGATATAAACCAAGCAGTTGAAGTGTCTGCCCTTAAAGAGCTTATATCTCGTGTGTGTGTGTGTGTGTGTGTGTGTGTAGAGAGAGAGTAAAGCAGTACATAGATCAAAATGGAGATTACAAATTGTGATAAACCCTGTGGGAGCTAAGATGAAGATGTGGTCTGGGAAGCTCTCTGAAGAGGTGACATGTTGAAACCTAGAAATGAGGAGGAGCTAGCCATGAGATGAGAAAGGCAAGGACAACTGGCATTGGGTGACTAGGTAGCTAGTGGTACTGTTGAGGGGAGTGGAGACTGAGCGATGTGGGAGGATGAAGAATTCTGCTTTGATGAGACGTTAAATTTGAGATCATTGGGTCCCCAAGTAGAGGTCAGGAATCTGGAACGTTGGGAGTCAAGGAATATTTAAATCCACTATCCTGGGCAAGATCATTCAGTGCATGAGTGCAGACAGGTTCAGGACTTAGGCTGGGACACAGACGTAGTGATTTGGTCGAGGAAAGAGTCCTCTGAAAATGGGCCTTGAAGCTTGATTGCTGCCTGCTTCTGGGATGCTCAGGAGACAGGCCTGGAGGCTGTGGGGACCGAATAGATGGAGAGATTGGAGGTGATCGGGTAGAGAGCGAATGTTGACGTCGCTTTGGAGACGTCTGCCACGTAGGGGAGCAGAGATGGGGCGAAGGCTAATAGGACTTAAGGCTCCAGGCAGACATTTACAAGACCTGAGAACCTACGTCAAAATAGGGCGAGTTTGAGTGGGGATGGCACTGGACTGGGCTGGACGGGTAGGCGAGGTGGTCTGGAGCGAGGCCCCGAAGAAGATGAGGCTTCGAGGCAGCTCAGCCCTGACAGGACGCGAGCCCAACGGGGAACTCGGGCCAAGGACTCGCCACGCCCGCTGGCGTGTCCCCTTGGCGCCTGAGACCGTGTTTCCCGGCATGCCGAGCGCCCGCTTCCAGGGCAGGACCCGGAAGTACTTAAGGAGCTCGGCTGAGACACCGGGGACTGAGTTGGCTGTTGTTTTTCTGCTCTCAGTGGTCCTGCAACCGCCGCTTCCGTCGCCATGGGGAAGCGACAGCATCAGAAGGACAAGATGTAAGTTGAGCCTCACCCGGGAGCGGGGCCCCCGCTCTGCCTCAGTCCTCCCTTGTCCCGCACTCTGCGCCATCCTCCTCTCGGCTCAGAGCTGGGCCGCAGAACCGTTCTCAGATGGCTTTTCCTCCAGGATGCCTCCGCCCCCTCCTCAGGCGGGGTAATTACCCTCCAGCCGCGAGGTCTCCCGGGATCCTGGCTCTAATATACCGTAGGTGTCCTTACCTGGGCACGGCCCTCCCACTGCCTCGGCAGTCCGCGGGCACAGCCCCCTCGACTTCACTTTTGCCCGGAACGGCCCTCCTTTCACCTCACGAGCTCTGCTCCTGAATTAGCTCCTCTCTCTTCTGAATCTCCAGTCTCTCCCTTTGTGCTGGTTCACGCCCATCAGCCTGCACACGTGCTGCAGAACCTTACAATTTAAAACAAACTAACCTTGTCCATGTTCCCCTCCAGCTGCCAGCGTGTTTCTTACGTGAAAGACCTGTGCCTACTGGCCGTTTTCTGCTGTCTCTCCAGTGAAGCTTTTGCCTCAGCACTATTATCAGGATCCCAGTAACTTCTGTGTTGGTGAATCTAGTGGTCAATTCTCAATCCTCATTTTGTTGGGCTTCTCAATAGCGTATGACACAGTTGACCACCTCTCTCTTTTTGACAAAGCCCTTTGGTATCTGGGACATCACATGCTCTTTGTTTTCAGTCTATCTCAGTGGCCTCTCTTTTCTCAGTCTCCTTTGCTGGACCTTCCTCCCCTCTTCTAGAACTCATAGGTCAATATCTCCTAGATTTCTTCTCTATTTACATTCTCCCTGGGGGGGTCTCTAGCCTTGCAGTAGTCAGCTGATACTCAGCTTATCCACTTCGAGGTCTGACAGGCATCTTAAATTTAATATGCCCCAAACGGGGCTCTTGATTTTGAGCGCCTGAGTCTGCTCCTCCCCCATTTTCCCTGTCTCAGTGGTCACATCCCTACTTCGTTTGCTCAGGTTAGAAGTCTGGGAGTCAACCTTGGTGACACTTTCTCTCAGTTCTCTCTTCCTCCTGGCCATCAGTAAATCATGCTGGCTCTTCCAGGAACTGAGCACTCACCCACCAATTTCCACATAGGTGAAGTTTATGCCAACTCCTTGGACCTTTGTAGTCACTTCCTGATTGAATTTCTGCTGCCTCTCTTGCTCGTCCCATCACGTGCAGCAGCCCGAGTGATGCTTTGAGGACCAATGTTAGATCATGTCAGAGCCCTGCTCCAAACCCTCCAACAGTTTCCATCAGTCTTACAGCAAATCCAGACTCTTTACACGGCCTGCCAGGTCCCTCATGATCCAACCACCGCCTGTGTCTCCTTCATTTACTGCCACATGCCCCCATGCCCCATGCACACTCTTCTTCAGTGACTTTGCCCTTCTTTGGGAACACACAGCTTTTTCTACCTCAGGGCTTTTCTACATGATATGGCTGCCTGATCCCTCTGCCTGGAAAGCTCTTCCCCGAGATCTTCACATGGCTAGCTCCTCCTCATCATCAAGCCTTCTGTTCATTTCAGTTCATTTCTTTCAGAGCAAAGCTCGACTGTTTGTATTTGCTTACCAGTTTGTGTATCCCCATATCTGTTGTGTTTATCATTATTGCCTGACTTAGATGTTTAATAAGCGTTTGCTGAATGTGTGAAATGATTCAGTCATCTCTTACTTCCAGAGACTCTGTCCTCCTTATAAAGAGGGTGGTAGTAAGATTCTGTCTCTCTTCTTCAGGTACATTACCTGTGCTGAATACACTCACTTCTATGGTGGCAAGAAACCAGGTAAGGCATGAAGTCCTACTCCCCTCCATTATGTGTGGGGATGTAACTAAGGAATGATATCTTCACTATACAATGAGCCTGTAAAAATTAACATTAAGAACATGGAAACTATAGTAAACACATGGGCTGAGGACACTGTCACATTTTGGTAATTCTCACAATATTTCGAACATTTTCATTACTATACTTGTCATGGTGATCTGTGGTCAGTGATCTTCACTGTTACTGTTGTAATTGTTTGGGGGCATCATGAACCATGCCTGTGGAAAATGGCAAACATAATAAATGTGTGTGTTCTGACTGCTCTACCGACTGGCTGTTCCTGTGTCTCTTCCTCTCTTTGGGCCTCCCTATTCCCTGAGACACAACACTATTGAAATTAGGCCAATAAATAACTCTACAATGGCTTCTTAATGTTCAAGTGAAAGGAATAGCCATATGTCTCTTTACTTTAAAGTCAAATTAGCAATGATGATGCTCAGTGAGGAAGGCATGTGGATAATCAAGACAAGCCAAAAGCTAGGCCTCTTCCACCAGCTAGCCAAGTTTTGAATGCAACAAAAAGGAAATTAGAAGTGCCACTCCAGTGAATACACAGAGAAGACAGTGCAACAGCCTTATTGCTGATAGGTAGAAAATTTTAGTGATCCGGATAAAAAAATAAAACCAGTCACAACATTCTCTTAGGCCAAAGCCTAATCCAGAGTAAGGTTATGACTCTCTTCAATTAAATTCTGTGAAGGCCGAGAGAGGAAGCTGCAGAAGAAGTTGGAAGCTAGCAGAGGTTGGTTCAATGATGTTTAAGGAAAGAAGCTGTCTCCATAACATGAAAGTGCAAGTTGAAGCAAAAGGTACTTATGTAGAATCTGCAGCAAGTTATCCAGAAGATCTAGCTAATATAATTAATGTAAACAACAGATTTCTAATGTAGATGAAACAGCCTTATATTGGAAGAAGATGCCATCCGGGACTTTCCTAGGACCCTTAAGAATTAAGCTAAATCTATTCTGCCTGCGCTCTATAAATGGAACAACAACCCTTATATGACAGACAGCATATCTGTTTATAATATGGTTTACTAAATATTCGAAGTCCACTGTTGAGACTTACTCCTCAAAAAAAAAAAGCTTTTCAATATTTTACTGCTCATTGACAATGCAACCAGATCTCTGATGGAGATGTACAACAGAGGTAATGTTTTCATGCCTGCTAACATAACATTTATTCTGCAATCTGTGGATCAAGGAGGAATTTCAACTTTCAAGTCTTATTATTTAAGAAATACATTTTGTATAGCTGTAACTATCATAGATGGGAATTCCTCTGATGGCCCTAGGCAAAGTAAATTGAAAGCCTACTGGAAAGGATTCACCGTTCTAGATGCCATTAAGAACATTTGTAATTCATGGGACGAGGTCAAAACATCAACATTAATAGGAGTTTGGAAGAAGTTGATTCTAACCCTCATGGATGACTTTGAGAGATTCAAGACTTCAGTGAAGGAAGTAACTGCAGATATGGTAGAAATAGCAAGAGAACTAGAGTTTGAAGTGGAGCCTAAAGATGTGACTCAGTTGCCGCA